AGACATGGCAATAACAAAAAGTATAGTTTTTAACTTTTTAACTTAAAAAAAAGTATAGTTTTAAGAAAAGCATTCAACGTAAATGTTGCCTTAGTTCATGGACGGTGCTTCATGATGGGCCGGCAGATGAGACTACATTCGCGAATGCGTTTTAATTAATAATAGTTGAATGAAAAGAAATTTTAAAGCGGATGCTTTTATTTGCATTAAGTTTTGTAATTCATAAACTACTGATATTAGCAAACTTTGAAAAGAAAAAAGATTTTAAGAGACTTATACAAAAGGTATTGAAACAAATTTTGAAGAGTTCTCCACTCTCAGAAAAAAGTTCTCCACTTTCACAAGGTCACATTTGTGACCTTTAAATGAATAAAATATCTGTATTGAGCTAAACTGGTATTGCAACTTAAGGGAAATATAATTTGAAAATGTTAAACGAAAAATTAAAACTTATGAATATATTCTTCAAAAAACTGATTTTTTAGTCAAGTTTTTCTCTACAAGGCTATTTTACAAGGGCTAAATCAAAAAAAAAAAAAAAAAAAAAAACGTTTTTTGAAATACACATTAGTCGTAGCAAAATTTTTAACATCTTTTATTATTTTTTTGCTAATTTTCTTCTCAATTTCAGTATATATATATATATATATATATATATATATATATATATATATATATATATATATATATATATATATATATATATATATACATATATATATATATATATATATATATATATATATATATATATATATATATATATATATATATATATATATATACAGTATATGATATAGATATACAGTATATGATTTGTATATACAGTTGTCGCTTTATTAAATATCAAATAATGTAAAGCCTAAGTAAGTTAAATATTTTTTTTACTAATATCATATAATATAAAGCAAGATATATGACTATTTAATTTAAACAAAAATTATTTTAAACGACTAACAATCTAAAACTTCTAATTACACATTTATTTTTTAACCAGGTGCCTACATTAGGTCCACAAAGTATCTCTGTCTCAGGACCAAAATGCCTAAATCCGCTACTCTTTAGGATTTTACTGTTCTTTGATGTCTAACTTTCTCAAGTTACAAAAACGTTTCAACGCTCTAAATTTTTGCGGCGTTTTTGCTATTTTATGAAAACATCTATGAATAAAAATTTCAGATATAAAATTTAAATATTAATTTTGCTAATATACAAGCAAATTTTTAAATATCTGATATTTAACAAAAGCATAATTTGTCCCATAAGCGGATAAAAAACTTTTGAAGGATTGTTACTAAAACGACGATGTACGCAAGAGCCATTGTTAAAAACAATAGTGAAATTTAAAAAAACGCAAACAAAAATATCAAAATCTTCACATTTTTATTTACGTTTAAAAAAAGAAATATATTGGTTAAAACCATATTTCATATATATATATATATATATATATATATATATATATATATATATATATATATATATATATATATATATATATATATATATATATATATATATATATATATATATATATATATATATATATATATATATATATATATACATATGATATGGATTGTTTGCATATTATATATTATTTATTAATATATTGTTGTATATTTGCCTTATTATATTTCTAACATTGAAATTAAAACAATCAATAGCTATTTAAAAATTAGAATTATTAAATTATTAAATAATAATCAAGAATGCTTCTCTTCCGTTCGAGCCACTAAAAAATGAAAAAAAAAATGAGAAAAAAATGAGAAAAGAGTTTAATAAAAACCTAAGGACTTTTTAATGTAATGTTTTATCTACTATAGTTTTTTAATTCAAAGAAAAATATTGTTTTAAATTCAAACAAAAAAGTTTTGTTTAAAACAAACAGTTAAACTTATATCTCATGTTTTTTTATAATTAATAACACATTTTATTTGTTTGTTTCTAGATTAGGTAATAAATATTATTTTTGTTTTGAATAATTTAATCGACTAGTTTGAAAAAAAAAAAAAAAATTATATTTACGACAGGAAGAGAAAACCATAGTTTTCTCTAAAATGAAAATAACAAAAGTTATTTTCATTTTATACAAAACTTTAGTTTGTATGAAATGAAAATATGTAATAACACATTTTAGGTAACAGTAGTAAAATTGGAATCTATGTTAGATATTTTTCTTTTATATGTATAATTTTTTATTCTTTTTATATCTATAAAGCGATTGTTTGTGTTTTACTTTGTTTCGAACTTGATTTCCGCTTTTGCTTCAATGTTCAAAGCCTTCTTCATAAATTATATTTTGGTTTTCTATTCATTTTAATCATTTCTTTTTTTAGCGCGCTTAAAAATTAATTAAAGTTGAATTGCATAATGAATTATACAAACTCAATGAAAGTTTCGGTGAATGGAAGAAAGTATTTTATATCGGGAATTCAGAAATATACTTCGCACAAAGAAATATTGTGCGCGATAGCCAAAGTTACTCAATCATCTAACAGAGAAATTGAGGGGGACGAAGGAAAACCCCATAAAGTTTTCAATGCAGTAAACGCAACTAAAAGAAATGTTAGTATTAAAAAATCTATTCAAGTAAAGCGTGATTACGTAGATAATCAAAATAATTCTATTGAAACTTTTAATACTTCAGCTATAGATACGGGAATTAGAAAAAAATTATGTAAGAAAAATCAATCAAAGGAACGATCAATTCAAAGCAGTAAAAAAAAAAGTCGTATAGCAGAAGATAAACATTTAAAACGAAGCGACCAAGTAGTAACTTTTCACAATTCTACTGGTGAACAAAAAATATTAAAAGTTAAAAACAAGAAAAGCTCTAACTTAGAGTATACGGTAAAATTTAGCCAAAATTTAGAAAAAGAAAACCGTTATCGTAAGTCGCAACATAAACATAAAAATTCTCTAGAAAGTAGCGATAATGATTTTAATCATCCAGTTTTTTCTGAAAACATTCAGATTCAAAAATTAAACAAAAAAGTAAAAAAAAAACCGCGAAAAAAAACAGCTTGGATGAACGATTTCAAAAACTCCACCCATATTTATTATGTGGACGGTAAAAGTAACCTTGAAGAAGATCAGAAAATGATGAGCGAAACGACTCTTAACTATCAAGTCGAAAAAGATAGTGGTTTACCTTCACCAGACTTTAATTCATGTGAATCCCAGGATCAAATAAAAGCAAATAGATTTTCCATATCTCACATTAATATCGAACAGTTATTTTTAGATCAGCTTGCTAGTATTGAAAACGAGCGCTGTAAACCCCCCGATAACAATACAGAGGTAAATAAAACGTTTATTAAAATCAACAACGATAAAAAAGTAGATAGTTTGTATATTCAAACCGAAGAGAACAATGTTTATATAAATGCTATAGATCTAAGTTCAAAGAATAATATTGACACTTCACTCAGTAAGGCCACTCAAAACGATAATGTAAACATTTCTAGCAAATATGAAAATTTAAAACAATTATTGCCTACAGATTCTTTTACAGATCAACCATGCGAAGACTTTTTATTAAAAATTGAACCGTCATTTCATATTCAAAATACTCCAAATACTTTTTTGGACTTAAATGAAAACGTCGTTGGCCACACCGATCAAAGTAAAAATATTTTATTTAGCGAGCAAACGGTTTCTGATTCAACGGAAAATTATATGATGCACGATAAAAAAAAAGTTTTTAAGACAGATATATCTCATCCTATTTTGATGAGTCCAGAAACAATTCGTAAACAAAAAAGCTTAAGAAAACTTCAAGCAGTTTTTGGCGAAGATGTTTCTAGTACGCTATTGCAAATGGCTGATAAGTCAAATTTGAATTTTATAGAAAAAAATAACGAACTAAATAAGAAAAAGAAAAAAGTAAATCGTACAAAAATATTAAAACAAAACATTAAGGTGTCTAAAGAAAAATCTAACGAACCTGAATATGTTTCAAAAAACTTGTTTCATGAAAAACCTGCGTCAGAGGTTTTAGAGTATAACGTCTTTCGAAAAAAAGATAAAAGTAAAAAATCGAAGCCTGTTAAACAGAAAAAAGAATTTATAAAAGTGGAACTATTAAACAACCCTGCAATTGCCTGTGATAATGTTGATGTTAACACTTGTTCAGAAAAAATATCTAACCATTTACCAAAGTGTGAAATCGATCAAAACCGTACATCCGACGAACACGATAAAAACGTGCTTAAAATCTGTTCAAATAACAAAAAGACAAACGAAAGCCAACACGAAGAAATGGACAAAGTAGTTAATACTAATAAACAAAATGGCGTTGATAGATTATCTTCTGAAATTGATGTTTCAGTACCAGTTATAGAGTCCGAAACTGAAATAAATAGCTTAGAGCAACAACTAATTGAAGCTACCTTATCTTTACTTTACATCGAAGAGCAGACTTTAGACTTAAATTTAATAATATCCTATCTTACAGACGAGATACAAACAATTAATAAGGTAGAAAAGCAAAATCTCGACGAAATGGAAAGCGTTGTTTTTAAAGATTTAAAAGACATTTTAGGTTTACTTAAGTCTGTCACTGACTTGAATACTTATCAACGACAAGAAATGGTAACGAATATGAACTTAATAGATAAATTAGACCAAGAATTAAGGGTTAAAAAAGCTGCGATTGAGAACTTGAGAAGTGGAAGTTGGAGGACTAACTCATATTGCGCTCCCAGATCTTTGCTTAGAAAATCAAAGAAAAAGATTGGAGGAGGACTTTATGATAAGAAGTTTAGTTTTGTTTAATTATAACAAATATATTTTAGAATTTCTTAAATTCTTAAGTCTGTTTGACAGATTAATAAAATATTTTAATTCCAAAATCTGTTTGACAGATTTTTATATTTATGGTTAAAGTTTTTTTAATTTTTTTTTTTTTTTAAACTACAATCTTTTGTTTTTTATGTAAAACGAATTTTTAGTAACAAATAAGATTGCAATTTTTTCAGTTCAGTTGCAATCAAGTATTTTTGGTTTTTTAATCAAAATGAAATAAGTATGACAATGAGAAGTAATAAATAAACTTCTCAGGCCAATCTTTTTTTAGGGGCGTGCGTCCCACCATGCCTACGTTCTAAAAGTTATTAAACCAAACTGCAATAAAGCATTTTTTTAAAAGAAAAATTAAACAATAAGCAATTAGATATTTTATATTGTATATCATTTATTTATGAAAATCTTATTTGTATATGGTACATGTAAATATATATTTCTTATACATTTTGTTGTTGTTGAGAAGTCATAACTCAAAACAATATTTACCTGCTCGTTTTTATTAAAGCTTTATTTTTGGAGCAAAATCTTTTAGTTAATTAAAGAATCCTATTGTTAATACATAAAATTTATTTTATATATTTATATTATATAAATAATATTATAAATTTATGTTACTTATACTACTTTCATATTTAAAACATTATTATTATTATTATTATTATTATTATTATTATTTATTTAAAATTGAAGTTTTGAAGTTGAAATATTAAAAAATATCAATAAAATATTTAAATAAAAAAATCAAATTTAATGTCATAAAAAACTTTTTTTGTCAAGGGATGTTTTAAAAATAACAAGTTTAAACGTCTTAACAATAAAATTGCATATTTTATATGGTGTGAAGTAGGATACAATATAATTACCACATAATTATTCTAAATAAAACTATTTATATTAATAAATCCTTTACTTTAATTAATGGTAACAGATCCCTACAAAAATCAAAAAAATGCACAAAATGTTTTATAAAATTAAGATTAGTTTTTAAAATAAGTTATAGTGTGACCATATGTCAGTAGACAACACTTAAGAGTAGTTTTGATTTTCCCTAACTACCGCCATAGCAACGACTTGGTTTTCGCGTTTTGACTACTTTTTTTAAAGTTTTTTACTGTTTTGTTATTAGATAAGTATTCACATCTTAACAATAGTTTTCATAATAATGTTTTGATTATTTATACATTTGGAAAATTAGTACGTAAAAATTATTTTTTGAATATTTGCATTTATATATTTTATAATATATTTTTACAAGTAGAAATATATATTTATATATTTTATAATATATTTTTACAAGTAGAAATATATAAATTACTAAATCTTGTATTATATGCATTACAATACATGCATATTTAGCGAACGGATAGCCCGCGCAATCGTGGGAAAAATAAGACCACGTTTTAAATTAGTTCTAATTAACTTTTATTTTTCATGGGTTTATGTTTATACATATATCCTTGTTTATACATATATCCATGAAAATCCATCATGTTTATACATATATCCTTAAAAAAATAATAAATAAACTTTGATTTTAGTCAATTGAAAAAAAATTAAGAATAATTGAATTTAATTTATTGTTGTTTTATTGACTAATGAAAAAAAAAATTCTATCCTTTTAATTTCTATTTTTGATCGCGTATTTCAGTTATTAATAAATGAACAACTTTTGATTTTATTATTAAAAAAAAAAACTTAATGATGTCGGAGGATAACTAAGAAAGTGTTAACTTTCCTACCGAATTTCGAATTACTGTATGATCGATGTACTAGTATTTGAAATGTATTTCATATACTATTACATATTAATAGTATATGAAATTAAATTCGGTAGGAAAGTTAGCACTTTCTTTATTATCCTCTGACATCATTTAAGTTTTTTTAATAATAAAATCAAAAGTTGTTTAAACAAGTCGCATAATCTCAAATGCTGATTTTTTTGATGCAAAATCAAAGTTGTTGACATTATTACAACTTTAAATTATCCTTTATGAATATAATAAGTTTTTTTTTTAAGTTCAAATAATCAAATAACAATTCAAATTATTTTAAACAAATTTTGATCAATCAGTCACTTCATTAGGTAACAATTTTAAAAAGTTTTTAATTAAACTGTTAAAAATATTAATAGTTTTTTTAAAATATCATCTGCGCAATTTATTAGTAACTGAAGAACGCGATCAAAAATAGAAATTAAAAGGATATAATTTTTTTTTTTTCATTAGGCAATAAAATAACTAAATTAAATTATTCTTAATTTTTTTTCAATTGACTAAAATTAAAGTTTCTAAATTACTTTTTCTGCATACATTGTAGTTTTTTAGTTAAGCGCGGACAAAGAAAATGTCGACTGACAGATATGTATATATATATATATATATATATATATATATATATATATATATATATATATATATATATATATATATATATATATATATATATATATATATATATATATATATATATATATGTATATATATATATATATGTATGTATATATATATATGTATGTATATATATATGTATGTATATATATGTATATATATATATATATATATATATATATATATATATATATATATATATATATATATATATATATATATATATATATGTATATATATATATATATATATATATATATATATATATATATGTATGTATATATATATATATATATATATATATATATATTATATATCAGTCGACATTTTAGACTGCGTTAAACAATAGTCTTTAGATTGATTGTTTTTAAAAAGGAAAAAAGTGTTTTTTGTTCTATTGTTTGTGAACTTAGTTTTTTTTCAATTACTTTCAATTCTGTTGGTGAAAAAGGTATTTTTTAGTAAACAAGTTTTTATAAAGTGCTTAGTGTTGGAATGCTAAATTTTTATATGAAGTTAGTTGATGTGTAATAGGTTTATTAAATTGATTGTTTCATATCCGTGTGGATTTTGTATTGTAAGATTAGTACACTTTTTTTCACTTTGTGTTCGAAAAGAAAAAATTCCTAATTTATTTTACCGGTCTTCATAACTGTAATATCTTAATTCATCAATAGCTTTCTTATTATTATTAAACGATTTTTTTTTTAATTATTTTTCCCTAAAAACAGTTTGTTCTATTTTAGGTCTTATGTAGACATATAAATTTGTGTTCTTTTTTTTCCTCCTTTACAGTTGTTTTCGATTTATGGTTGTTTAATTTGTAGCTAAAATTTTGGTTTTTTATAACCTTACATTTTTCTTGTTAAAAGTATTAGACCATGTTTTAGTCCATTCTGATATTCTATCATCAGTTTGTTGTAAATTTAAATAATCTGTTTATTAGAAATAGAAGCTAAAGTCTTTGTGTCATCTGCAAATATTTTACATTGACGTGTAATATTGTCCAACATATCAATAATATATAAATCAAATAACATTGGTTATGTTTAGTTAGCACCAAACCTGGCTACACTTTGCTAGCTACGAATATCTAATTAGATGTAGTGGTACTTAATACGCCTTTTTGATTTTTGATTAGTCTTGAAAGCACAATTCCACTTTATCAAATAATTATCTCTCTCATGTTTGCCAAACTTAGTTTTTTTTTTGGTGAGAAGCCTTGTCAAATATTTTGATAATCCTTAGAAACAAATAAATAAAGATATCCATGTAGTAATGATTCAAATAGCTTCTAAAAAAAATAATAGGTTTAAAACAAGTTGGCAACATTTTGAGAAAACAAATTTATGTTGGTTTGAATTAAATAGTTTTTTGTAGGGTTCGGAAAATTTGTATGCGCAGATATTTGCCGATAAATTGTGCGCATATATTTGCATAATTATGCGCATACTTATACGTATAACTTTTTTCTAATTTCAAATCATAAATTGTTTTGACTACAAAAAAACGAATTTTGATTCTAGTTTTCACAAAGTTTTGAATTAATGTACTTTTGAAACAAAAAAAAAAATGAAACCCACTATTAAATCTTTTTAACTATAATTAATAACTTTATATTTTTATATTTTATATTATTAATTATAAAAGTTCTTTAATAAAAGAGATAAGTATGTGAAACAATTTTTCCTCGAACAGAAAGACAATGGAAAGCTTTGCAATAAATAGATATTTTCAAAATCTTGATACAGTGAAGCGAACTGGAAATTGCATTGCCTGCCAAAAAAAAGTTCAATGGGCAAAATATTGCGTTGCAGCATATAAACGAACATCAAGTCTAAACGCTAGTGAAGTTGAGAAGCGATTGTTTGCAAAACGAAAAACCGAATCATCAATCAATTTCAACAATGAAATCATAATCTCAGCTGAAACATACATAGTAGTCGACAATGTCATTTCTTTTTGCAAACTGGAATATCTCTTCGTCTTGTTGAGTCTGAAGCTTTTAAGGATTTTATCAAAGCTCTAAATCTATTGTATGCATCATCAATACCGTGTGCAAAAATGCTGTTAGTTTCGCCTTTTGATATAAAATACGCAGAATGCTCCGCTAAATTGAAAGAAATTCTCAAATCACCTGAAACGCTCGTCAGTGATGGTTGGACAAATATTGGTGGCGATCATATAGAATCAAGGCACCAAATACAAAATCGTTTTTCTATACTTCAATCAACACATCGGGCATAGTTCAAAACACTGCAGCTGTTGCTGGTACCATAATTGATGTAATCAAGACTCTCGGCCATCAAAAGCTCAGAAGCATAATTATTGACAACGCTCCAGTAATAAAAGCTACTTGAAAATTAATTGAAGGGAAATGTCCACACATTTCAATGTATGGCTGTGCAACACACGGTATGAATATTCTTGTTAAGAACATTTTTAGTACTGCTAAAAGTTCAAAGGCCATCAAAGAAGCTGAGAAAATCATCAAGTTTGTGAAAAATCATCACATTGTTACAGCAAAGTTTGACAAATAGAGAATCGCAGCTAATATTCCTCACTCACAATGCCTGTTTTGACTCGATGGTCAGTCAATTTAATTCAATGAACAACTTTTATATTGCAAAGTATGTTTTGATTTAATTTGCGGATGAGGAAAATGCATCTTTGAAGGAAATTGCTCTAAAATCAAATTCGGCTGCTGTTTTGACGCTAATTAAATCAAATACTTTCTTGTATAGTTTGGAAAAACTCGTAAAAAGTATCGAATATTCTTCTAACATCATTAGAAAACATAAAAA